GAAAGAAAAACGCACTGAGATTTGAAGGGGGCCTATTGCCCTTGAAAAGAAACATCATTTATCTGACACTGAAACAGGGCAAAAACAATGGTACAGCTTTACCATACTTCTTCAGAACTATTGCGCATCGTTCACTATCGACTATAACGTTACGAATTCAGCACAAGCTGTAGATAATCTATTACGCTAATTTGGAGAAAAAGGTTTAACATGCGATTAATCACATTCTTTCCGGTTGAGGTTGTTGCGAGGATGCACCAGAGCATTAGCTATGGACAAGGGGCAAACGAGCGCGGATGTCTTTTCACATGGTGAAAAGGGGCTTTATCGCGCCTTTCACTAAATCCTCTTGGGGAATCTTTAGGGCCAGAATGGCATTCTATTCCAACCAACTCAAGAAGAAAACGCGATATGCAGATTAGGAATGATTATATATATTGGAGCTTTAGCATTCACGAGAAAGTCTTAGGGAGATCGACAAGAGTTCGACTAGAAATCGGCTGGAAGCCGGAAAGTGTAATAGGAGCCATATAGAAGTCGGTTAGAAGCCAGACAGTTGCATAGTAGCAGGATCAAGAAGGGGAATAAAAAATATATATATATTGGTAGATGTTTGACGTGTGATATCGGTAAGCGATAGATTATTAAACTTTAATTATATAGCAGACTCTAGTTAGTTAAGGAATCGGCTATAGATAAAGATTCGGAGGTTAATTTATCATAAAGGTAGTGAGTAGGATTCAATGCGCTATTTGCTAAGAATTGTTAATTGCATCATATCACTCCTGATCGTTTTCCTCTAAGACTTGTTTTGAATTGCTTAATACATATAGAGATAATAATAAACTTGTTTTATTATGGAAGGTTCGAGTGGTCAATCTTTTATCCCAACAAATCTAGGTCACGTGGATAAGGAAATGATACCCCCGGTCCGGGGGGTATTACAATGGCACAGTGCTATCCAATATCCACAGAATCCAAAATGTCATCGTGTGTGAGGGCAAACATGTTGAAAAATTAGAAAAGCATTTGCTCTGCTTTTGCTTCTCACTTTCTTTGTTGGTTATTTTCACGTTTTCCTTAGACTGCATAACTCCGTCATTTTTCAAGCTACATATACCGATACAATTCACAACTAATTGTAAGTTTTAATGCTATTTCCTTCTGTAACGGTAAAGGTCAATTTTCTCTCACAAACAGTAAATAGTGTTATGTGAAATTTTGGACATTTTATCATTTTTAACTGTGAGAACTCCACTACTGTTTTGCACATAATTCTTCAGCGAGCTTATACAACATAACACTTGTATTACAAGTATTACTAAGTTTTTTCGAACATAATGTTCACTAAGCGGTCATTGATTAGATTATAGGAAACAGGCGTCACATGTTTCTTAACTATCATGTTGCACATGTATATATAATACAGAAGTTAAATTATGTATACTAATGCTAAATTTCCACACTTTTTATAACTTCAAAACTTCACAAGAATCCTAATAAATTTAGAAGTGTTATTAATGGTCTTAAACTTACATGACTACTTCCATACATTATTATGCTGTTGTTTTTGTTGCTAGTGCCACCTGTCTGACAGTGTCAAATCAAGATCCTCGAAATAATTCTCCGCAAAGGATTAGAAGCATGCCTGTCGTTAGCCGTAGTTTTGGGCCCCATACAGGTGACAGTATGATTTGGCTCGGTTCCACCCCAATTTTGAGGCAGAACACACTGGAGGTGGTTACGGGCCTCCCACCTCTCTTTCCCTTCCACCAACCTCGCGAGAGGGAAGTGGCTTAACGGCTATTTAGAGTACCCCAATGTTGCAAAAGCACTTTTCATTTAAAAACATCCATGCCTTCTCCGGGATTTGAACCCAGGACCTACGGTACAGCAGTCAGCAGTCAGTAACCACTATACTGAATGGGTGGCGTTATTACATTATTATAATCTACTTTACAAAATCATTACAAATATACGAAAAGTAACAACTGTAATTATAAAAATAGTTAAGACAACATTAATAATTTGAAAGATAAAGAAATTTTCTCTATGCATAGTTATAATTTTGAGAATCTTTTTAATTCAACACATAAAGTGATATAATAAATGTCATTTTAGAAAATTATAAAAATTCTGGTTCTAATAGCGTCATTAATATTGAAAATTATCGGACTCTCATAAATTTACTTTTTAAAGAAAATTTTATGACTTATAATGATTTTATGTATAAACAAATTAAAGACTTACCACAAGGAGCGATTGTTAGCAGTATTTTAGTTGTACATTTTACATTTTCATGAAAAATAATATACTAACAAAAAATGATTTTTATTTATATCTATATTGATTTATCCAATTATTTTTGATAAAATTAGTGAAGACTGACAATCCTAACTACTTAAATTTTATTAAAACTAACAATAATCAACTTACATTAAAATGCTTCAAAACTATTTTACATATTACTTAAATTTATTAATTCAGTTATAAATTATGTTTTATGAAAAAATAAGTGCTTTTCATTTAAACATTATTTTTTCTAAGAAATTGTTCAAGTTAAACTATAGTATTTATATGTCACACAATTTAGAGAAATATAATTCTTAAATATTTTCTATGAAGTTCTTATTTAGTTAGTAAAGATAGTGATAAGAAAAGTAATACAAAAAAAAATATAAAATACATTTTAGAACATGAATAATATCTTGATTCCCTGAAATCTTACATATAGAGTAAGTTTAATATTGGTTTTTGTTAAAATACAGTTTAATATAGTATATACATGTATATATATATGTATGTGTATGTAAGTATGTGTGTGTGTCCTTTTTAAAACATTATGGAGTTCTTTTTTAATCTAAATATATTAATTTTTATTATAACTGTTATTAAAGAAAAGGCTTCTTGTTTCTGTTGTTAATTTTACAATAGACCCGTTTAAGATTTAAAAAGTGAAAGTTAAATATTGATGGTTTCTCATTTGCAATGTATTAATGGTTTAAACATTCCACTTAGAGAAAAATTAGAATTTTTAAAATGAAAAGCCTTGAATAATAAAATCAGATAAAAGTTAATAAATCTAATTAAATTTTCGCTTGGTATCGAAAAATATCCCCTCTTTAATAGATCAAGAAATATTTTACTTTAATTTTTACTCTTTCCATGGTTTTACTAAACAATCTCCATATCAAAATTTCTCTTTTCCAAATTCTCGATTTCTTATTGACCAAACTCGCTCTCCCCCCAATGGGGGGGGAGCATACAGCCAAAAACCTCTGTCTTTTTAAAACTTGGCGGCCGATTCTCTGCATCAAGATACCCCCCCCAATGCTCCCCGAAACGCTCCCCCGTTTGGGTTTGTTCCCCGACAGGAAAACATCAATAAAAGGGCACCCATTCTGGCAACCCTTCAGTCCGAGGAGAGAATCTTGACGGAACAGAAAGCTTCTTCACTCATATTAATACTTAAACAGAGAAGAAACACAGTCTTTTGTGTTGGGTCTCCAATCCACCATCTATCCACAAGGGGAGAATCAGAATGTGCAGGTCTCCTGCGCCGGACTTTCTCTGTCTCTCAAGCCAGAACAAGTCGGTTGCAAACCGCTACCGCTCCCGGAGCAAGCCGTAACCGAATCTGTTACACATTTACAACGCAAACACCCATACTTAAATATTCAATACATTTTAAATTTCACTCTCATCACTTTACTTTTAATTACACTCACTAGTTTTTCTTCCAACCTCAATGTAAAAAAATTCTCACACATTAAAGTAATTTTTCTCTTAAATTTCCTAAAACTTTTAAATTCTAATTCCTTATTCTATCACAGTACTGAAGCGTTTCTCAAACTGTGGGGCGCGCCTCCCTAAGGGGGCGCGAGTATATCGAAAAGTCGAAAACAAAAGATTATTTTAAAAAAATTAGTAATTTACTGAAAGGGAACAAAACATACATTCTGACATAATAAAAAAATAAAATACACAATTACACTGATACAATACACTTATAAATGAATCAGTACTGCACAATGTATTTCATAATTAATTTAACAGTACTCAGTTAAGAAAAAATTTTAAAAATTACCTTTACCCCATTTTGGGATTCTAAATTACATAAAATTTAATCTTATCTTGAAAAAAAGTACGGTTTAAAAATTTAAAGTCTATTGTTTTTTACTTTAAAGTTTTTTATTATTAACAATACATTATTATTCTATGTAGAGGGGGGGGATGAAATTATGAAAATTATGAAAATTGGGTTGCAAGTATAGTAAGTTTGAGAAGCACTGCAGTACTGGGCTAAGATTTGAAAAATAAGCCAACAAAATGCAATCTGTTATCCCAAGCGATAGGAGGTTAAGTTTCCCTGCGGGAAACAGGAACTCTGCCACCATTCTACAGTTGAATCTGACGTTTGTACCATTTCACTGGAGGAAAGGGCTGTGATAGCCAAGAGTTCATGGTCGCGAATTTGTGGCCAGCGTTTGTTTTCTGCAGAGTTGGGTTTGAGTCTTGATATCATTAAAGACCCACCGTGTATGGGTACTGATGTATATTAAATCTGTTAAGACTCAAACTTTTCACGTGGTGATAGATTTGGGAAGTAGGGGTCGTCCTCGGCACATGACAGTGGTTCAAAAAAGTGAGGTCCGGTACCAATAGCCCTCGCAAAACTTAAAAATACGATGTTAGTAAATAATAATGGAATCTCACATTAAAAGTGTAAATTACTTAGTTGAACAAATAATATTTAAAAAAAAGTCAATTCCTATTTAAGTCAACAAGGAAAAACTTTTTTTAGTTACTTTTTATTAAATAGTTACAATTAATATAAATATGTATATACAAACGACAGAATCACAATGTTAAAGGGCAAAATAGAAAGCAATTCCATTTTCCTTTGTATTCTTTTTGTTTGTTACTATTTATTTATTAATTAAATTTCATTATTCCAATAAATAAATAACAAAAATGTATCACATTCTCAGAAATTATGCCGTCTCAGGTGGTAATTGAACCCATGACCTTTGGATTAGAAATCCAACACACTATCCATTGCGTTACAGGGACACAACGAGCGATTTTCCTTTTTATATAGGGTGTTGCATCATAATTCTTGTTTGTTACAATTTATTCATTTTTTAATTTAATTAATGAATTAATATTTGAGAAAACTGCATTAACACAAGTTTAAGAAATGTATTTGAACTTGAGTACATCAATAAAAGTATTTTAGTGAAGATAAAAAATTTGAACAAGATATATATATATATATATATATATATATATATATATATATATATATATATATATATATATATATAGGGAGACAGTGAACAAATAGTAGGAATTGTATACATAGAGTAATTTGATTTTTCCCTCTTTAGTGAATGTCTCACTCATATTATAAAAGTATTTTTCTTAAATAAAATAAGACACGATACCTCATAGTTCCTCTGCATCATCTATAGAAAATTGTTCGAAAATATTTCATTTTATGAATTTATTATGTTTGAGAACAACAGTGCATTTATTACAGCTTGGAAGTGTGTATTTATTTTTTATATTAACAAAATTTCACAGGGAATCAGGCAAAAATATTTTAAACTTTGAGGTAAATTCAAATCGAAAAGTTGATAAGATGGATATATACCTTTCAACCTCGCAAGGTGAAAGGTGAAGATAATTACCACAAAGAAAACCTTTTGTTTCCTGGTTAAGAAAATATTGGTTTCTAGTCTAGACAGCTGTATTTTTATTTCTCTTTAACAATCAAGGCTGACCTGATTTCATGCTCACATTCATAACCTTAGCAGCATTTGAATTCGATGTCACCTAGGGATAGCTATTTTTGCTAAGATTTTCTTAAAATGAAAATTTTTTTTTGTAGATGGAAAACCAATTGGATGTATATCAGTCACTTAATATTACGCTTACGTGTACTTTTAAAGTACAACATCATAATTATCCCACTTTTAACAGTTTTAACAGTCTCACTTTTAAAATGCCTCAAAAAAAGAAAAAGAACCATTGTTGAGAACGAATTTAAATTCCATCTGAATATACAACCTCTGACAATAAAGTTATGTGAATGAAGTCAGAATGGATGATTTGGCAACACCGGCGAAACAAAACGCTGCACATGCGTAGCGGCAGGAGTTGACCATCTGACCCCAATGTTGATCAGTTGAGCACCATTAGTGTTCCCTGTAAGACTTGTTTTACAAAGTGGTTGCTTAGTGCGCTGGTTTTTAACTGAGAACAGGAAAATAAACGAATAAAAGATCCATTTAAAGTTTTGTTTTAAGCTTGGTAAGACACCAACAGAAACTTATTCGATGCTGGTACGTGTTTATTAAAATCTAGCACTGTCCATGAAGTATGTGTACGACTGGTTCGCCCGTTTTCTAGAAGGCCGCCCGGGAAAGTGCTCCTGAAAACCCCCGTATCAATAGATCGGCAATCTCCTTCAGTGACGAAAACATTGGGAAAGTGAGTACATTAATCACGAAAGATTGTTGATTAACTGTGCGTATGATAACTGGACGATGAATGCTGCAAGGTACATTGAAATTTTGACCCGTTTCAAGAAACATCTAGGGAGGGTACGACCCCAGTACGCACATCAAGGTTCATGGTTTGTTGTCCACAAAAATACTTGCCTTCATAGCCAATATTGTCTAACAGTTCCTCGCAAAAAAGGGAGTGGTGCAAATTAAACATGCACCATTCTTGACAGATCTCAATCCTCCAGACTTCTTCATATTCCCCCAACTCAAACTCGTTTTGAAAGGAAAGAGTTTTGATGATACTTCTGACATCCAACGAAACGTGACGAGGCTTTTGAACTCCACCTAAAAAGAAGATTTCTTGCTAAGTTTCCAGGAGATGTATAGCAGATCTTAAGATCGCCCGTGCAGAGTTACAGGAGGTAACAATTTCGAAGGACAGTAAGGTAACTTTCGTTAATATTTCATCTACGTTAATGTTACAGGACTATTCACTGAACTTTATAATCAGATGTTGTACTTCAAGAGAGAGAAAAAAATGTTATAGCATAACGCAAAAATGTTCTAAAGTGCATCAATAGATGGAGGTCCAAGGACAAAAAATGTTTTTTTCCTATTAAATGTGGTACGGACCTGTTAAACGGACTATTATTACGTACCTTTTCCTATTAAATATGGGGAATGGACCTATAACTAACAGTGCTAGAACTGTTGAACGACTTGAAAGTTACTTTTTCCGTCAAAATCTAATACTACCATGCACATTGAACAGTTCAATTGATTAAATGTGCCAAACCTGTCAAAATTTTTTTTAAAAAAACCGCCGGGGTGGAATACAATTTCTTTAAATCCGTTTAACAGCCCTTTTATTGATATATTTTTCGAACTTTTTCTTACCCCCAATCTTTTTCCCTTTTTTTAAAAGTATATTCAGTTCAAATTTGAAATTATTCTGATCAGTAGTTCTTTTTTTACAGCCTTTTGAAAGGTGAAACTTTAATTATAATCACTGTGAATAATTTTTGATTTTTAGCCTGTGATAAAAGGATTGAAACAAAGCTTAAATAAAAAGACAAGCATTTTTGATATACTCATGTTGTATTAGCTTAGTTCAGATTTTAACTGAAATATCTCCAAATAAATATCTAAAAACAATTTTGTGTCAAACAAAATTTCGAACCTAATGCAAAAGAACACGATACTTATCGATCAATTTTCAAAATAAATTTAGCACAGAAAGCGTAACAAGAATGTCTATATGGCGGGGTAAACTGCAATTATTTATTTCGATCTTTTTTAGCTATGTCTACTTTATTGCAATATCGTTACTGTATATTACATTTGTTGAAGGTTAGTAATATGTTAATTAGGCTTCTCAACTTCATTCTAAAATTGCACTACTTTCAAAAATTTAACATAAGATTTTTTAATTTAAACAATTATCAGTGATTTAAGATTTGATGTAATTATTGGTATCTCACTATTTACAAAGTTTAAATTAATATAAAATTTTAAAACTTAAGAATATTTGAACGTTATATATAATTGTTGTATTTATTTACTTAGAATAAACTTTACAAAAAACCCATTATCTTAAAAGAAATTGTAAAATAATTCAAGCATAATTTGGATAATCTAAAAATTCAAATATAGCTCAAATGAACAAATAAAGGATTTTTTTCAATTTCTACTATTAGTTCATTCATTTCTATATATATATTTATTTATTAATATATATATCTTGTTCACAAATTTTCAATTGTTAATAAAATACTTTCTATTTATCCATTCAAGTTCAAATACATTTTTTAAAACTTGTCGTGGAGGACACTTGATGTTAATGCATTTTTTTTAAATATTAATTCATTAATTAAATTAAAAGATGAATAAATAGTAAAAACAAAAATAATAGTCCAACAGCATATATAGAAAAGAATACCGTTTGCTGTGTCCCTGTAACGCAATGGATAGTGCGTTGGACTTCGAATTCAAAGTTCATGGGTTCGAGTCCCACCTGGGATGGCCTAATTTCTGAGAATGGGATTTTTTTTACTGTACTATTTTGTTAGAACAGTTAAATTTAATGATTGAATAAACAGTAACAAACAAACAAAAATAGTCCAACACCCTATATAGAAATAAAAATGGAAAATTGCAAGGAAAATCGCTTTCTATTTTGCCACTTAATAGTGTGATTCTGTCATATGTATACATATGTATGTTAATTATAACTATTTAATAAACTATCACTAAAATAAAAATTTTCTTTTTTGAGCTAAGTAGAAATTGACTTAATTTTTTAATACTTGTTTTTTTACTGTGGGAATTATTACAAAAAGATTAGTTATATCTTTCCCCCTTTCTTCAGATGCATTTTATTACAATGTTCTAAAAATTCAAAAACCTAAATTTGTAAAGTATAATAAAGAGTCCATAAAATTAACATCATGTTCGAAAATTCACGACGGCACTTAGACGGGAGTCTTTTAAACTAAATAAAAAAATAATTACTAAGTTATAAACTAAGTGAAAATACATGAATACGTATTTTTAAATTTTTTTCGATAAGATTTTTTATCTGTCTTAATTACTCTTCGAGGCTTTTTATCTTTAGTATTATGTAAATGTCTAAGGATTTGAAATACTTTTCCTCCATGAATAGTCTTTACAAAATAAAAAGAAAAATACATCTAAAAATTAAAAACTTCTTGCACTTTGCGAAAAATAACGAAATTCTTACAAAGTCGTCTGCAACTGCAGACAAAAAAAAAGATTCTTAAAACTCTAAAAATATTGTACATACATGAAGTAAGAGTTTTGTCAAACTTCTTACTTTTCAAAAACAAAAATACAGAAAACAACTATTGCATGAAATAAGACATTTTATTTCAAACATAAATTTAATACATCTGAATTATTATTAAAAAAATACTTATAAAAAATTTCTTATAAATCCTTATAAAATTGCCATTTAGAAGAAGCAGATTTAAGTTTATTTGAAACCGATCTTATTTTTACGGTATTTTTAATGATATGTATAAAATTTACAAGGCACATTAATCAAAGTCTTCTCAGAGAAGGTTTTCAAAGCAGGTTATAAACTATATATTTTCTGCAATTTTATTTAATGCTGCCATTTACTTCTTATTGGATACTGGTATTTGTCTGAGATACAAAATACAAAATATCCGATGTTTTACAGGAATAAAAAACAGGCCTAAGGAAATGAACTAAAAACATTTCAATTAATAAAAATTGCAGGATTGGAGTATTTTACATAAAAATCCTCTTTTTACTGGAATTTTTTTAAAAAAAGTCAAAATTTTTTAAACAATTTTGCTTTTTTAGATTTAAATAAAACAAAATATTAAACTAAACACATTTCATTTCATAATCAACTGTACCTTTAAATGCGATAGTTATAAATGTCTATGCTATCGAGGTATACAAAGAATTTATGATAAATAAATAAATGGATTAATACAGTGTTTCTCAAACAGTGGGGAGAGCCTCCCTAGGGAGCGTGATAACCCTACAAGGGGGGCGCGAACATAGTGAAAAGACTAAAACAAAATATTATTTTAAAAAATTATTATTTTTCTGAAAGTAAACAAATAAAATACATTCTGACATAATAAAAAATAAAATACTTATTTTCATTAATATATACACTTATAAATGTATCAGTACTGTGCAATGTATTTCATAATTACAATACTAAGTTAAGAACAAGTTAAATAATAAAAACAAAAATTAACACTTATCTTGATAATCTATACAGTTTATAATTAATCTCTTAAATGCCAATTAAAATTTACGCGATTTGCTCCCCAATGCCTTTGTTTAACACCTAATTGAGCGTATGTGGTGTATCGGGGGGATTGATAGAAAAAGAATAAAAAGGAATGAATAAGCAAATCCTCTGAAACAAGTATATCCTTTCCAACACTGTCAAGCTCCTTTTACTACATTCCAAATCCTTCGCAAAAATTTTATCTATAGCAGTGCACAGAAAATATGGTACTTCGGAAAGGACCGAAAGACATATATATACGTCGGGCACATAAAACACTGGCTAAGCAAGACGTTTATATACGCCGGTAGCATTTAAAGTCGTCCTGTAGGCTTAGCATCAGAGTATAGTATTATTGAATTCAATACAATGTTAATCTATGGGTGGGTGGGGGTGCGATGAAAATTGTGATTGAGTATTGGGTCGCAAATATTGAAAGTTTGAGAAGCACTGGATTAATATGTAAGTCTTAAATTGTTTCTACAGTATTGAAACAGAAGAAATTTTTCAAACATTCTTTGGAATAGAAAACAACCGTTTAATTTTAACAAAATGTTTTTCTTACGCATATCTGATATATGACTAAATAAAACTAAAAAATCTCAAAGTTAATTCACAAATCAATGTTAAATAATTATAAAATTATACAACTCTCGTGTACTAATGACAAATATGTCTCAAAAAAGTATTGAGACATTGTAAAAAAAGTACTAAAAATAGTGATATACAGCAGATTAAGTACCTAAAAATATGTCTACATTTATTTGTTCAATATGAAATTCTAAGTTTGATGTACTTTGATAACATGGATAAAAAATTTAAAAAACTTCTGTTAAGGTATCCAACTACGTTCGGAACTGTGATTTTGCAAAAGCGCATAAATTGATAATTTTCATGATATTTAGTGTCACTTAGATTAGAATACATGTATAAAATTGTTTTAAGGACATTTTGACAAAATAAATTATTTAAATACAATATTTTGGCTAAAATTAACTTAGAATAATCTTTTTTCAAAATGTTCTCCTTTTGTGAAAAATGCTTCTATTATAATAATACTTTGCTGTCTATAGCTCAGACCTCTCTACAGAGGCTCAACTAGAATTTTTGAAGTATATAACTTAGAAATGGGTTTATCCATATTTTACTACAACAGAGGAGAGAAATTTTAAGAAAAAAACGCCAATAATTATTCAATGGGTGGTAACACTGAAAATAATGTGAATTTTTCAAAAATTCTAGTTGAGCCTCTGAGCTATATACAGGCAAAAATTATTATTTTAATAGAAGCATTTTTCACAAAAGGAGAACATTTTGTAAATAGATTATTCTTTGCCAAAATACTGTATTTAAAGAAATTTTTCTGTCAAAATGTCCTTTAAACAATTTTATGCTTGTATTCTAATCTGAGTGACACTAAATATCATGAAAATGATCCATTTATGCGCTTTTTTAAAATCACGGTTCCGAACGTAGTCGGATAACTTAAGATGAAAAAACTGAATTGAGATTATGGAAAAATTGTGTGGAATATTAGGTAAATATTGAATGTAAATAAATTCACAGTTCATAACAGTATTTTGGAACATGAAAAAAAAGCAAATTAAATGGAAAACGCGCCATGTGCAGGACGGTCAAGGCAATTTCACTAAATAGTTAACGATGAATGGGCTTAATTCAGGTGAAACCATAGTCACATTATAAATGCAATCACGTGGTTTCCAGCCAATCAGTAGTTGCATCTCGCCCTTGCCCACATTTGGATTTTTACAGAAACCTCCTAAAAAGTTAATATCTGTTAACAATCATAACAAAAATATTTAAACAAAATTCATTTAATTTTAAAGTAATGTGGAATTTGTTCCAATTTAGAAAAATTTCATGATATTTGTACATTTTTACCCAATTACCAAACCTGAAATTGTATCCGGATTTCACAAATACATCAAGAAATGCAAATCTACTGTAAGCTTTGAATTAAATGGGAAATACATGATTACATTTATCAATGGCAGTCATGAATGTAATTCATTTTGAGGGGAATATTACTTGCAATTTTAAAACCAGTACAGTAAAACTGACATTAAAAGTGTTTGCCAGAGGTCTTGAAACGCGGCCAATGCAGAAATTGTAAGAAATATTCTTAAGAATTGTAGTTCGAGTAGCTAGGAGAGAAAAGCATGTAGAGAAGTAAAACAATAAATAAAACTCGACTACAATCCGCTTGCACATTCAAAAGTTTTCAGAATTCGGTAAATAGATAGCTTTTTAGATGAGAGAGCAAGTACAATATTTTTTAAAGTAATGATAATCAATAGATGTGGTGGAAGTCTAATATTTGAATTGAGAGTTAAGAATCTTACTTTTTTGTAGCCAAGTGTGATTTGGGCGTGAACGAGTACTGCCTGTGTTGGAAATCTCCATTTAATTGATAAAAAACGCATAAATTTGTTTATTTAAATATTCTGAAGAAACATTTGAAATAAAACACTAAAAGATAATATTATTATAAAATTTCAAACTACCTCAGGATAAGGATCACTGTCGTAGCTAGTTCTGAGAGGGCCCTGTATCATCCTTCAGGGCTCCATTTTACGTTTGAGAGCCACTGTTACTGGGACTGTAGTTATACGTGTTGAGGTCCCTGTAGCTTGGGGGCCCCTCATAAGTATCTAAGTGCTCATATTTGCATGCTTTGTATGCTCGTATTTGCATATTTTGCATGCTCATATTTTCATACGTTGGAGTTTGTATATATGAGCAAAAACAAATATATAACAAAAACAGCTGCACAATCTTCAGTTCTCAATCTTGTTGATCATTATTTGGGACCATTCGAAAAATAAAATCCATCACTTTCTAATCTTAGATTTGATGTCCGTAAAACCATAGCTTAAATAATTGAATAAAATTGAACAGGGATAAATTATATATATAAATATATGAAGTAAAATGCAAAGTACAGCAAAACAGCAAACAGCAAACGAGTTCGACCATTTATACTTTGAAATGAAAAAAAAATTATTACTAAGCAGAATTCATTAGTCTAAAATTGGTCTATCTGAGATTGAACTAGTAATAGTTTAATCATTTTCAATTAATAGTCTTTTTTTCAATTAAAAATAAGATACTAACAATATATATCAAATAATGAATAATTTTATCTAATTCAAAATAACTTAGGGAGCGAATTGATATTAAATTTAACTCAAATAAGTTGCTGATTTCA